GGGAGCAAGGGGAAAATAGGTAGAAGTAGCTAACCAAGAAACTCAATAAGACATACCTGCTGAAAATGAAGCAAAGAAATATGAGGAGAGTCTAGCCTCTGATGAGGCAGGAAAAAAAGAAGCCAAGTCTGATTGTTTATCTATCATGTCTTATTGGTAGGCCCTGTTATCTCCCTTCTTGTACAATACACAGGAGTAGTTTTATCAACTGTTTTGTAAATGCAAGTTTTTATAGTAGCTCTAGAAACATTTTTAAGAAGTAGGAAATCCCACTTCATCCCAGTTTTTAAAAGTGTAAATTTTTTACAGACGTGAAATCATTTGCTGGTTGTTAATTTTTGGTACAACCAGGAAATAGTGGGATGTTGATTTGTGGGAAGATGTGGCTGTCTTGGGTGTCACCAAAACATCCCATATGATGGGGGGGGGGTAGTTTTTGTATGCCTAATACAAAACCTACTTAATGGAAATTTGGAGTCACTGTCATGCCTTTGTAGGACTTGGACATTTAAAATGTTGTTTCCATGTTTGTGTTTTAATACGATTGTGTCTGAAAAATTCTGTCATCGTGGCTTTCTTGTCAGGACTGTGTGCATGCTGTAGCACCTTTGGTCATGGTAGTCCGGTTTTCCTGATAACTTTGTTATGTGCTGTGAAACTTTGTTATATACTGTGAAGGATTGAAGATTTGCATGTGTAGTGTGTGTGACAGTAAATTGTGAATTAGTGGGACTTAAGACGTAACAGCTTATTAACATTTGAACAAAATGGTACTTGATAATCTCTTTAAAATTTTTTTTGCCTCCAAATTTAAAACTGGAAAGTCACTGGAATTTAGATACAAGTTGGTATCAACATGCCATTTTAGGATTTTGGTATGCTCATTAAGAATTTTGTACAAATTGTTTATGATGTCTCTGTACTGATCTCAAAACAACCAATAAAATGCTAGTTACAAAAGGAGAAAAGAAGCAGCAGGAATAGCAATGTGAAACACAGGAAGGAAGTGAGATAAGTAATGCTGCATTGTGGGGATTGCATTTAAACCATAAAGCAAAATGTGTTTGAATTGTTGATTGGAAAACAAAATTTTCTCTGTAATTAATGCTTCATGCAATTCACATTTTAAAAAGTTGAAAACTAAATCTTAAAAAGTCTCAGATATTGAATACTGTCCATATAGAACATGCAGTAAAGTACTAGCTCTCTGTCCTTTTAGGCGGGGGCTTGGGCAGCATCTCTCTTTTTCTCTTGTCTCTGCTTATTTTATTTTATTATCAAGATATCATTCCTATAACATAAAATTTACCATTTTAAAGTACACAATTTAATAACTGACATTTCTTCTTTATTGAGGTCAAAATCATGAAACATAAAATTAGCCATTAACCATTTAAAAGTGTACAGTTTATTGGCATTTAGTACATTCATAATGTTGTGCAGCCATTACCACTATCTAATTGGGAGACATTTTTATTACCCCAAAGGAAATCACCCATCCTCACTCACAGCTCTTCTACAGCAATTCACACTGGTGTTCCCTCAATACAAATATGACAAACATTCTAGTAGTGAGGGTTAGCCAACCTTCTGACTGGAATCAGGCCAGATGAATTCCCCAAGAAAGCAACTAAACATAGGACCATTTGGGAATCAAGCCTAAGGTGCCAGTTTGAAGGGTATGGATTCCTAAGCTCACCAGATTCTTAAGGTGGTACCTGGGTAGTACATAGGGTTAATGCATTTGGCTGCTGTGATAATTAGTTGTTTGGGGATTTTTTTAGATCATTTTATTGAGGGCTCTTACAACTCTTGTTACAATCCATTTATCAATTGTATCCGACATATTAGTACATAT